ATCCTCTGGAACTCGGGTACTACCGCATGGAAGGCCGCATTGTGAGGTGTGACTTTGCGGACAAATCTGTGACGCGCGACCAGTACGACCCGTAACTTTGGGGTGCCAACCTGCTCGGCGTTTCCGAGAGCAGGTAGGGCTGGCTGATGGCCTGCATTGTTCTTTCCTGGGAAGGAGAACGTCTGCGTCTGCGCTGACTGCCCGTCGCACAACCGTCCTGTATGCCTGTCATAGCCCGCGGCTGCCAAGCCTGCCAGGATAAGGTGTGAGCATCACCGAAGCGGAAGGAGGACACTTCAGCTGCACCGCCAACCAGCACACTCAAACGATGTCGAAGGAAGCGCGCGATGTGTGCTAGAAAGAAGCAGCCAGGAAGCGAAGCTACCGCCCATTTCACGTCGTGGCTATCTACTGTCATTTCAGTACTCGGTTCCCAATCTCAGCTCAGCTCTATAAAGGATGCTGCATAGGTGCGGCTCTTTAAAGGCGTCGTAGAGGCGTTCCGTGGCTCGACAACATGGGACTGCCGCCTCCATGGGCGCGGCGAGATGTCAGCGAAAATGATGTTATCCGTGAATTCCATCGGCAGTGGCACACTCATGATTATCCGCCGCTCATGGAGGCAACCGCCTCTTTAGTATCTGTTTTTGACGACAGCTCGCCGGCACAGGGCGCAGTTACGTTTACGGGGCCCGAATAGGCGTCAGACGTGGAGGGCCTCTCCCTCTACAGGCTCAAGGAATGCCGCGGACAAGGAGCCGCGAAAGGGCTGCCATTGCATTGCCGAGTCATGGAGCCGGCCACGCATGTGCGCGGCAGCCAGAAGCTCTATGCGCTGGCGAGACAATGCGAAGCGACCCAGTACCTCGTGTAAGCCAAACTGCAAGCGCGGCCTGAATGTCGTAGCCGTCCTGCTGGTTCCACTGCCGGACCCGTGCCAAGCACCCGCCAGCAAACCTGCAGGCTGTAGACTCAATTGCGCAGGGGGTCTCATCTCAAGCCCAGCGACTTCCTTGTCCCAAGCACGCCGGAGACGTGCTCCGATTTGCCACTGAAGGGGGCAGAGCTCGCGCACCGTGAAAAAGCCACCGCAATTCGTACACCCACATGATCGTGTCGGCCTTCATCGGCCGCCTGCTGGCCGCTGCAGAAGACTGAAAACCAAACAGGTGCGATCCAGCCGCCCTCCTCCCCACTTGCAAGACTCAGAACTGCTTCCTCGGTTAGACGCATGGATAGCCGGTGAACTGTCCTCAGGACGTGTGTCGAAGCAGTTCTCTGAACTTGAGCAAGACATTACAGCGTACATCGAAAGATGTGGTCAGCTAGGACAATCGCCCAGGTCGTCGCCGTAACGGTGACAGAAAGGTCCTGGAACTCCCTACTACCTGCTAAGTGCTCCCTAGAAGCAGCCTGTCGGTGCGGCTCGCGGCGTCCCTCCTCTGTAGAGTCAGCCAGGGTGGCCCCTTTGCTGAAGAGGTGGAAGTAGAGAAAATCAACCACCCGAGGAAGGGGATGTCGCACCAGAACTTTGGCAACCGGCTCTGGGAGCCCGCAAGTCGAACCTCCCTCCGCTGCGAGGTGGTGTAGTTCGACGGTTTCAGGTGGCACATTGCCGCCACCGTAGGCGGCTGAAGTGCTGTTAATTCAGCCATGAGGGCGTTGGGCAGTGCTTCCCGAAGGCTTGCCAAGCCTGTCGCAGTAAGTTCCGCCTTAGGGAAGAGTGCCTGCATGACCTGCATAGGCGGTGAATTGCTGAAGACCGGGAAACGGAACAGGTGCAGCTGCTGGAATGCCAAGTACAATTCATGATTGTCATTAACGAGTGGCAGAAAGGCTCGGCACTGCGCAGTATCCACCTCTGGGGGCAAGTTGTCCAATCTCTTAAGGAGGTGCCCGTAGCCATGGCAGGCTGGCCCAAAACAGTGCCGCTGATGCGCCACCCAGCAACAAAACGAAGCCGCCTCCAGCTGTCCGCAGGGCGACATTCAGCTGATCTTTGAAGTGTGCCGTCGGACAGAAAGGCACAGTTTGTCCTCTCGCGCATGGACTTGCCACAGAGTGAGTGGCAGCCTCACAAGCTGACCAAAGATGTAGTCGGGCATACCCAGCGCCCAGCCGGACCACATGGCGGAGCGAGTCTCCTTCGCCCCCTCTCTTCCCTCTTGGGCCACAGCAGAATTGCCGGGCCCAGGCTGGGGTGGGATGCCCACGCACGATGCGCTAACAGAGCAAGAATTGCTGCCAGCAAAGAAGCCGTGTATAATGAGGGGACAAGGCCTCAGAGCCGCCAAGAATATAAGCATGGAACAGCAAGCGTTCCACATGAACGTCAGGGAGCGTGGTCATGGCCCGCAACCCGACCTACCCACTGTAAGTTGAGACGCTGCGAGCCCTCAGCTCAGAAACCAAACGCTTCTCTGTCCATGTGCCCGCAGATACTCAGCGTTGATCGGAAACGATGCATCATTGCTGGCAACAAAGAGCCCTTTCTGCCCCTAGCTGCCCTAGCTTGTTAGCCACGTTTATGCGCTCAAGGATGGCACCTGGCAGGCACTTGCTTCACAGGTGAACACAGAGCAGTGCAGAGCATTCCGGCTACTCAGAGCCAAGGAATGCTGCATCACTCCACGCCCGTATGACTAGCAGGTGCCCAGCTTCCCAGTTCGCAAGGGCACCGAAATCGATCCGCTAGCGGAGCCCAGCTTCCCACACGCACGGTGGGCCACGCAAGCGCAAGGGTTGCGCTGAAACCAAGACTACATCTCGCGCGAGTCGAAAACCGCCAGAGGAGGTCGCAGACTCGTGAGCTTATGCACCAGCTGCACATGCCTCATATCTGACAGCTAGCAGCCGTGGAATTGCTGTAGACCAGCTTGTTGTCGAAGCTCATCCTGGAGGCCTTTTGTTGGGGTGGGCGCGAAGTCCTTGCATAAACCGCTGTACTGTGCGGTGCAAGCCAGTCCTTTGTTGTCTGTCCACACAGAAGATCAGGATGGCAGGACGGTGTGCGTGCCACTCTGAGCCAGAAAGCGTGAAAAACTTAAGGTCCCTCCTAGACCTTTTCCCTTGGAAACAAGTCCCTACGGGCACAGCGGACAGCTGCAAGTCTTTTTCACTCAACTTGAGCCAAACGTCACGGAGTGCGTCAGAGTTCACACGTAAGTGTGGAAACGAATTCAAACAAATGAATTATAGCGTATTGGGCTCTAACCACACAGAGATTTACGGAGTAAATCTTGTGGGATATAAACATACCACTGAGGATCCATCAAGGAGTCCTCAACAGCACCAAAGGTACACTTTGAGATCGAAGATTCTCAAATGTACCCGGAAGGTTTCGACAAACCATGGGATCATCAAGATTCCCATCCAAACCTTGAAACCGTTCCCGAAGCAAAACACTTCACAAAACACTTCACTAGCAGAAGTACTTTTCACAAGCGTCTAGCACTCATGATCTTACACCCCCCGCATTTTGCTGAGGGCTTCCTCAAAGATCTTCGCAGAAGACAACAAAGCACCAGTGATGGCACTTCAGCACTAGGGGGATGCCCATAGGCCACATTCCCTTGGTGCGTACTCGCCACACCCAAACAACCACACACACACACAGGCGATCTTTGCTCAAAGAGGCTTGCAAACCTGTACCGTTCGCACAGGAGTGTCTTGGACCAGCTAGGGACCAAAAGTTCGTGGTGACAAACACGTAGCAACTAATTAGAGCGGGCCGTTCAGAAACTCTCAGTTCCTCTTCTCGACCACTTCTCAGTACACCAAGTCGGGGTAGAAAAGCCGCCAAGTCACCCGAGTCAAAGTAGGGGTCTGAAAAGACCACGAAGATCGTCCTGCAAGGTTCCACTCTTCACCAGAGGTAGCTTCACCAGAGGCAGCGAGTAGCTTCTGCAGAAAAACGTCCAGCACCGTTGTCGAGTGACAACTGCTCCAGAACCCAAAGGGCTTCAGGGCCTCAGGCAGGCCTTTCCAGAAAACTCATGCACTGATTGCAAAGGCAAGGGCTCGCAAAAAGAGTCAGGCCATGCAAGCAGCTACACCATCTCACGAGGAGCTGCACCCTTTGCCTCGGCTTTCTCAGAGGCCTTTTCAACCACCTGGGATCGACGATCTTTCGCCGCATCCCTCATCTGCTCCAACTCAGCAACCCTTTGGCCTATCTGCTGATCTTGCTGAGCAGCACTGGACTCAGATCCCTGAGCACTGCCAGACGCAGATGCCTTCTTCTCATCCAAAAGCTTCTCCAAATCACTCACTGAGGCTTGCCTTCACCATCTCAGCGATCTGTGCGATCATCGCACCATCAAACACCAGAGGAGCAGGCGGAGAACTTGGGGAGAGTTGCTCCAACCTAGTCTTCTTTGCAGCTTCCTTCTCAGCAGCATCCAGTTCCTCGCGCCTCTTCCTCTTTCTCTCAGCTTCAAGCTCCAGTCGCGAGCAGCTACAACCGCCAACACGGCTTGCTCCACACTGAGCTGAACATGCACCAGCTTCTGAGTGTTTCGACCCAAAAACTTCCAGATGTGCTCCCACAGGATGCACGGTAGGTTCATATTGAACCGGCTGGCGTAGTCCGAGGCAACATGCCACGTGCAGTCACTGCCAGATCACAGGCTCCCGGATGCTCTCAAGCACCCTGTTGGAAGCTTCACCGCCATGTGGTCGCAATCCACACTCAAACTTTCCTTTCACCACATCATTGTTGGAGTAGGCAAAGTAAACCCACAAAGGCAACGGCTTCCCAAGGTCTTTAACCTTCGAGTCGAAAAAAAAATTGTTTGGCATGTCAAATTAGACATCCAACACACCTTGGCCAACATAGTAGTGAACACCACGTTGCCTTTCTGAGCATGCTCTTTCCATCGGCACACCTAGAGAGGATGGGAAGTGGTCTCCAGATCACCCTTCGTGCATGTCTCCACTCCCAAAATGGGCTGTGTAAGCAGATCCAACATGCGCAATATCCCTTGGTCCTGGTGCCCACTCTACTGCACAAACATGACCACTGCCAAACCACTCAACCTAGGGCTCATCTCAACGTAGATGCAACCTCCATTCATGGCAGTCTCCCAGATGACAGACTTTCCACCAGACTGGGACCTCATATCCAAGACAACCATCACTTTGCCAGGCATTGGCATCCCATGCTCATACACGTCATAATTCGGGTGGCTGAGCTTCTCAAAGCTCTTCTTGTTTTCCCCCACATCATCACCAGACGATTCCACCAAAGGTTGGAGATCCATTTGGTCCAAAGGGACACTCGAACACCCATTCTCCCAGAGCTCTGTGTACCAAGCTGGCACCTCACCCCATTGACCTCCATAATGTCACAACGCTTGGTGGCTTTTCAGGCCTGGGTGCAGCCTTCGCCATCGGGTTCTCACCCTGATGGGCGCCTTCACCTTTTTCGACCATCCTTGCACCCACTGCGAGGATTTTCCTTCCCTTTTTTGCCTTTCGAAAACGCTTTTCCTTTTCCCCCTCAATGCGACCTGGGACCGACGACATACGTCGTTGAGGTTTCCATATTCTACACTCTTGCCTGGTCACTTGCACGGTGCTCTGACTTGGTTGCGTCGTGGGCTGCCAGCACGTCGACATACGTCGATGTCCGTTTTCTGATCTGCACGGCTTTCTCTTTCTTGCTTCTTGGCATGTGCGAGAGGCCGGCCAACGTTCCGAGTTGATTTTCAATCCTAATGGTGCCCCTATGTCTCGCCAAGGTCAGGAACACTTTCTGTTTTCTCCTTTGTGAGTTTTAGAGAACCTTGTGAACGGTAGGAGTGGGGGTTGTCTGTCTGTCGGTCGCTGCGCTCACGCTTCCTGTCTCACCTTGCGGTGAAAGTGATCATTACTAGAAGCGTGTCCAACCGGAGTTTTTCCTCACGAGTTTTCACGAAGAGTGGTGTTTCCCTGAACTTTCCTGAAGCATGATGAACATCAGAGTGTTTTCAGTTTGTTTGCTATGAGAACGGACTTCTAGACGAAGTCCGGGGAACACCTGGGCCGTGTAGCAGAGTTGCCAGTGCAGAGAAGCCGTTAGGAGTCCTTAGGACTTACCTTGGAAGTGAGTGTGCTGAAGTCTCTGTCTGCGCGTTTCACTTGGCTCAAGACTTGCACTGCGTGACAAGCGCGTGGTGAACAGTTGGTTGCAACGAAAGGTGTAAAAGGGCTGTTAGCTTTCACTGCTGTAGCCCTGCGTGACGTAGTCAGTCAGTCGGCTTGCACCTCCTTTTACTAAACCTAGAAGTGTGCCTCAAGGCGCGTTTGGGTTTTAACGTGGTAGCGGAGCTCAAGGTTGCTCCTCAGAGCCATGGACCCACGAGCCGAGCCTAGCCGCGACCGTTCCCCAAGAGGACGGAGTTCAGGGCGAAGTGCTAGTCGTGCCAGTGGAGTTTCTTCTGGCTTTCCCTCAACCCCTCGAGAGTTGAGTGCACCTGGCTCGCGGACTCGTGGAAGGTCCCTCCCTGCTCGGAACAGTCCGACAGCACACCGGCCTGTGAGTAGACCCAGACCTCTTGTGAGTGCAGGTCAAGTGCCTCAGGTGCCTTTTCCACAGGTGCCTCAACAGGTTCCTTTGCAGCAGGGTTTTCAGCAGCAGCAGCAGCCTCAGTTTGGAACGCAACCGACTTTCCCTCACGGAGGAGGGAATCCGCAGCAGGCAACTGTGCCTAGTCCAGAAGACAACACTGTCAACCTTTTCAGGCAGATGTTGCAAGCCCAGGATGAACAGATCCGAGCTCAGCAGGGCCAGATTTCGCAGCTCACCGAGATGGTGAAGACGCTCGCCGTTGCGAGTGCGAATGCTGCAAGTTCGGCCGCAAGTGCAGCACCCGTTGCTGCGAGTTCGTCCCAAGAGACGCCTGCTGCAGCTCTGGGCTCCTTCAGAGTTGACTCTGATGGTGTTGTGAAGATGGATGTGGACACAGGCTTGCGCAGCAACAGGGCGGAAAACTACATTCCGTCCCTGCCAAAGTTGGCAGCAGACAAGATGAGATCGCGCCATGAGGAAATCTCCACGTGGACCGCTTACCGCGAAGAACTGACCTCCTGGCTGTGTCTTTTAGACGACCGCTACGCGGAGGAACTGCAAGAAGCTGTGGAGAGCGGTGTTCAGGTTCAGCAGATCAGCCTCTCAAAGGGGAAGGCCGCTCGTTCCACTAAGCTGTGGTACCTCTTGAAGCAGGCTCTCGCTGGTTTTCAGCGAGGAGTTGACATAGCCAAGCTTGTCGAGTTGAGTCAAGGCGGTGCCGCTGCAGGGTACGACCTCTGGCGTGAGTTGAACAAAGAACTGTCTGTTAGGTCTCGTGTGGAGGGACAGGCGCTCAGAGAGCAGGCTCTCTTGATCGCGCCACCAAAGCACTTGAGACGGCCATTGGATATTTTTCGCCATATGATTTCTGATTTTGCTCGCTACCGCACGCTCGTTGCCAACAAGTACCCAGACCTTGAACTGCAGCAGGCTGATGTTATCAGCTGCATCTTGAAGCACCTTCATGATGATTGCAAGAAGTACCTTTTGTTGCATGGGTCTTTGACAACGTTGGAGCAGCTTGAGCGCGGTTTGGTTTTCTATGATGAGCAGCTTCGTGTTTTGAACTTTCACAAGGAAGCCTCGAACGCCAAGGGCTTTGCAGCTTTTGGTGGTGACCGTTCTGAAAAGGGTGAGCCCAAGGGTGGCGAGCCCAAAGGAAAAGGTCATGGAAAAGGACCAAGGCAAGCATGGTGATAAAGGCAAAGGCAAGGACAAAGGAGGAAAGGGAAAGGACAAAGGCAAGGGTGGCAAGAAGGGCGGAAGGGCCCGATCTTCGACGCCGGCTCCTGGGAAGAAGAAGCCGGGCACCTGCAATTACTGCCACAAGCCGGGCCATTGGGCCAACGAGTGCAGGAAGAGGATTGCCGATGAGAAGGCTGCTGCGACAGCAGCGGCGGCAACAGAGAGTGCCGCTCCCAAGGTGGCCCCTCCTGCACCTTCCTCGACTGCGGCGCCAGCTCCCACTGCTCCAAAGGGTGCCGGGAAGATTGGCAAAGCGGCCCTCCTTATGTCGTCACTGTTGCCCGCGGCAGGGCAGATTTCTGAAGCAATGCCTGAGAGGGGACAGTTTTTCACCATGACTGCCTTGATTTTCACGTTTTTCATGTTTTGCATGGTAGGATGCTTGATTTGTCGGTTGGTTGCATGCTTGAGTAGCCCACGGCAGTCATGTTTCACGTATGCTTGCGTAGCCGTAGCAGTGATTGCTTTGAGCCTTGCTTCCGCGCCGCAGCCTCAGCTTCGGGATCGGTCTTCAGAGTGCCTTGCTTTTCCAACTTTGGCACTTCCTGCAGTCACTAGGGACGACCCCTCGTATCTCTTGATTGATAGCGGTGGGAGTGTTCACCTTGTTTCGCAAGACATGCTTGGAGTGACTGCGAAGCTGATCCGAGAGCTTGAGGTTGAGCCTCTCTTTGTAAGTGTTGCCAACGACCAGACTATGGAGATAACTAGGTGTGGGTTGCTAGAGCTTTGGTTCCCTTGTTTCGAAGCGGGGCCCTCTGGAACCCAAGCTTACAGAGAGATTCGAGTGCAGCTGGAAGCGTATATTGCCCCCAATTCGATAAGCATCCTTAGCTCAGGCATCTTGCAGTCTTTAGGCTTTAGGATCTTTCATTATGACTATGATCCTCAGTTACATGTTGCCTATCCTCCGGGTGGTCTGCGCTTTGAGACAGAATTGTATGCCAACACGTCGTGGCTGAAAGCTTGTACCTACGTTGAGCCTGATTCTACTGATGGTTCCGTGCAGTCGGTTGAGAAGGGAAGCGTGAGTTCTGTTGTCCCGTCTCACCCTGTAGGTGTAGGAGTAGGGCTTGAAACCGTAGGAGCGCGTGTTGGTCGGTCGGTCGCTTCGTCTCACCTAGCCCACTCTTGCTCTGAAGGCCCAGTAGAACCTGTAAGGGACGATGGCTGGGTCCGACCACGAGATGGACCAGGACATGGAGAACTCGACCTTCCGGGTTCAAAGGTTGCCGGCGGAGCAGACGGAGCTCTCCAACGACGTGGCGCTGCCGACTCCGGTCTCTTCCCCGGAATTGTCTCCTCACCTCACAGAGCCGGACTTGCCGACAGCAGAGGTGGAAGAGAGTCCGCCGATGAGTTTTGCGAGCCTTTTCGAAAGCAGCCCGGTGGAGCCGCCAAGTCCGTTGATTCTGCCAGGATCGGAGACTTCTCCCCGCGGCGCTCTTACGAAGGCTGGCGCCAAGGCACTGGCCAGGCAAGACTCTCCAGACAGCCCGGTCGTGACTACTCCTGTGTATGGGAAAGTGGCTCCTCTCAAGCCACCCATGCCAGAGCCGGATACAACTCCTATGCCTCCCGTGCCGGAGCCGAGCACGGCCCCTATGAGCGTGGAAGCACAGGAGGAGGAGACGGACGAGGACGAGTGTTGGGGCAAGTGGAGACCAACGTCGAGCACCACAGCCTCCAACATTGCTCCTGGCTCGGGTGCGCCCGCAGCCAGCTCCCAGGGCGCCGTTATGCAGGAGAAAATTGCGGATCTAGCCCAGTTCAGGCAGCGAGCCAGCGAAAGGAGGCAGGGGGTGTTATCCGCGATACGTGGGGCACAGCAGCCTGTGACTCCACCGAAGGCCCCAGGCTCAACAGATATGGTGCCAAGTACGCCCCCAAAGGGGCCAGCCGCCAGCCACACCACCGAAGTCTCCGATTACACCACCAAAGGGGCCAACCACACCGCCAAAGAGTCCGCCAAAGAGTCCGCCAAAGGCCGCGCCAGCGCCGCCCAACATCTGGACAGCACCACCTCCACCGAGGGCCGCTCCGAAGGCTGCCGCTCCAAAGGTTCCGAAAGCAGCGGTTCCAAAGCCGCCGAAGGGTCCGAAGGCAGCGATTCCAAAGCCGCCGAAGGGCGCTACTACAACAACGCCGGCTCCTTTGACAACGCCGGCTCCTGTGGCAACGCCGGCCCCTGTGGCAACGCCGGTAACAACAACAACACCTCCGGTGGCGACGGTGGATCCTGTGGTGCCGACGCGCCACATGCCTTTTTCGGCCATAGAAGGAGTGCGCCTCGGCTTCATGGACACGGAGGATGCCGCGACCTTCGCCCGCAGAGCGTCCCTTGCAAAAGCAGCAGCCTCAAAGGAGAAGGGGAAGGCCCCGAGACCACCGGCGCCACCGCCGGCGCCACCGTTGGTGGAGAATACGCCGGAGCCTCCTCGAGTTCCAGCTCAAAGGTCGGTGCCAGCAACAATGCAGATGCAGGTTCCTATGCAGATTCCGGTGCCCATGCAGATGCACGTGCCCCCGCAGATCCCCATGGATTACCGCTACAGGCCCTATCCGGCCCGACCGACCACAACACCGAGGCCGAGTACAGTACCAGTGGCGCCGAGTTCAGCGCCGATGCCAACGCCCACAGCAGCGCCTTCTCTCCGGGCGCCATTTCCAACATCAAGGCCGTCGTTCATGCCGCCGCCAGCCACACCAAGGCCTATAACAAAGAAGCTGA